AGGTTGCGTGCTGGTTGGCATTCACTAGTCAGAAAGGCGTATCTGCAACCTTGAAGAAGCTCACGTCCCTTCTGAGATTCGAACTCGCGTCACTCAGTGCTGCAGTCGGAGACGTTACCACTGAGCTATTCGGGCTCGCGATTGACCTCCTGTAGGACTGTAGTGGATATTTTGATTCGATACTAGTAACTAGTGTGATGTGTCTAGTCCTCTCTCTTTGCCTTCAACCATCTAGTATCATGAAATCAATATGCACTGTGATGGTAAGCTACGTAGAATAGTGGTCACATCACAACCTGACTGATAGAATTCAGTTTGCACCAGAGAGAGGCGTAGACACATCACACTAGGTACTAGTGTCAAATCAAGATGACCTTGTTATGTTTACAATTATAACTAATTCTATTAACTTGGTTATATTTTACGTAATCCTACTGAGCCATCCTAATATTCTTAGTCATCATTATTTCACAGATTCCTTGATTGTGTAATATCTTGTTGCTAACCTCTACGAATTAGCTTATCTTGAATTCCGTGATTAATTTTAACTTCAAAACTTAGGTATCTTGTTACTAACATCTATTGTTTGAACAAAGCAAGAACTACAGTTTGTTGGTACCATCTTTTATTGCGTTTCCTTCTCGCCAGCTGCTTACAGGTCAGAGAATTAAGATGGTTCCACTTTATTCTGCAAAAACTGTAGTTCTTGCCTTATTCAAATTCATTAAGGGGAATAATTGTATGGAATTTCTGAAGTATCATCTATTAGTTAATTGCTTTGATGACTTTTAACCTCTTAATTTCAACCACCTATGCCTAAAACTGATGGACTGGTAAAATTATAATGTACAAAGAACTATATATTAGTGTAGAGCTGATGATGAGGAACTAAATGAAAAGGAACATATTTCTTCGCTCAAATTTTTCTTTACACTAACAGTCGGTGCGTCGGTGGCACAGCGGTTAGGATGCTCGCCGACTATGCACATGATCCGGGGTTCGATTCTCGGCCACAGATACACCCCTTTACCTCGCTAAACCAGTAATGTGACTTGTAAAGAGGAAAGATTGGGCATGAGGCTAGAAACCCCATCCTGTAAAATTAAACACTGCTACAGAAACTTCGAGCCACCAGCTTGAGACCCTATATTCCACTGAAAAAAACAGTCTCTGCATGCCGCTCCTGCAGAATGATCTTACATTTGACAGGAGTAAATCCTATGCCAAACTTACTAAGTGGCAGAAATACATCAGTGAAGGGAAGAATAGAAAGGGTTTGTCTATCTACTGTTCCGCAGTAAGTGGGTAGTTTCATGCCCAAGACTTATTCGTAGCATAAAACACGTGAGAATTAAGGTATCTTTAAGTATTGGTTTGTTGTAGGGATTTTGTTTGATTGCATGGAGGATTTGATCATGAGCTGACATCAGTTAGAGAACCACTGGAAAACCTGGGAGTACTGGACAGTTGTTTCGTCCTAGTTTGGGACTCCTCAGCAGTACGCACCCACCGGGATTCGAACCCAGGACCTTCTGGTTACAAAGCGAGCTCGTAGACCATTGAGCCACTGGGACCCGATCCAATGGTCCTTGAATTCTAACTTCTGCCAGTTCACGACATAGCGCGACCACTTCGCAATGTCTTCTTCGATGAGTTACTGCCTCATCTTCACATTTGAATCCCCGGTGGGTGCGTACTGCTGAGGAGTCCCAAACTAGGACGAAACAGCTGTCCAGTACTCCCAGGTTTTCCAGTGGTTCTCTAACTGATGTCAGCCCATGATCAAATCCTCCATGCAATTAAGGTATCGTTGTTTGTTTTTTAAATTTAAAACAAAATCTTGTTGTCCTACCTTAGGAAGTTCAAGAAAACAGTTTTGAATAAAGAAGGTGCTGTTGGTTCGACAAGTTGACCTTATGTCGATTTCTCGCAATTTCTTTTAACTATAGATAGAATGTTAATCGATTGCCATATGCTACTTATTGACTGATTTGAGTAGTTGGATAATACTGACATCAAATAGTAGTGCTAGTTAACCACACTGCAATAGTCTAAATACAGCATGTCTGTTTCGTTCGTTTGAGGTCAGGCCCATAACCCATCTACCTAGTTTGCATCACTTCAAACCACGCACTTTCTGGCTAGCTACTTTGGCAGTCTGATAATTCACAGTTCAAGGTGAATTTCACCAAAGGCACCTTTGGAAACCGAAATTATTCAATTCGGAATATGTGGTCTACTTGATACCATAAGTGTCAATTGAGAAAGCAAGAATATATGCATGATACTATATGCCACTAATTGGCTGACATGGGTTGTTGAAGGTTTATTGGAAATATGTTGACAATATCACGACTTTAGTCAGATGGTGATCTCGTAGCTCAGCTAGTAGGTCGCCTGGTTGATAATTTGGAGACCACTGGCCTGAAACCTGTCGTGGTCCAGATTCTCATTCTGCATTCAGTCACCAACCATTACATCAGCAACAGTCTGATAAAGAAATTTAAACGTTAGGGAAACGTTTGAAATATTGTAATTCATTGATATATAGAAAGCATTGAATGCGTCTGAGAGTGAATTATATCGGAGCGAATCTCCAGTTTCATCTCTAGTAATTTTAGGAATTTTTCGGTATTTTGTTTCACATTTATTGAATTATTTTCCTTCTCTGTTTTATTTTAATGTTTATTTTATCTTCATTTTATTTTATTATGTTTGTTTTTAACACTGTTTGTGTTGATGTAAGGTTTGACAGCCTGACTCGATTCAACTTTGTGCAAGTTTAGGTGTTGGTATGTTTGTCTGATGATTTATGGTTTTGGTTGAGTTAAAGAAGAATGTGTATTAATCATATTATTGTTATTATGGAACTCAATAACTGGATAAATTATGAACAGGTAGAAAGAACAATAAGAAAGTTTGTAATCAATATACTTACCTAAAGAGGAAGAAATTTGGCACGAAGCACGAAGTTGAAAATGGCTGAATACCATGTTTCCTTTTGTTTTAATCATTTGCAGCCTAACCACATCACCAATAACTAATCAGTATTTCGCAAGTCTTTGGTTTGCTGGTAGAAGTCTCACCAATCACCAATGTCGTCCGGAGTTCGATCATCAGCCGTTGTACTCCTAAACCTCGCTAAGTCGGTAGTAAAGTCGGCAAAGGAGGAAGTTTTGATGTGAGACTAACAACTCTAGTCCGTAAAAATAACATTATGCCAGTGTGGTACAGACAATGTGTCCAACGAAATATTATCCTCACATATTCCCACAGTTCAATACTGCATACAGTATATCTATTTGATGATAGTGACAGAATACTTTCCTGCGATTCATTACTGCATTGACAACAGAACACTATGCATATTTGAACATTCTATTTCATGTTGTTTGATGCAAACTAAAATAATATGATAGGTGATTTGTTAACGAATATCAGCTGCAGATATATAAACAGTGGTTTGATTAATGAAAAATACACCTTGTTACAACACTATTGATCCCGAACCTTTAAAGCTGTATCTTGAAGCCCTATGTCCCACTCGGAATGTAAAGAAATAAAATATAAAATAAAATAAATAATTGGTATTTCAAGGTATTTCGGAATATAGTGGATGGTTAATATCTCTGTGGTCATTACTGCCTAATGGGTTCATGTATAGGTATGCCACGGAAATCTATTTCTGTGTGGTTATTCAGTCATTCAATTGCATTAGTTACCACTTTTTATACTAACTAAATTAAAGTCTACAAGTTTGACTCGTGCGAATTTATGTGATTTCGAAGTGAATATTGTCAGTAACCGTCATCTGTTTATTCAATCCACATCAGTCTATTTACCGGAAATCTCTTGAAACTGATGAATGTTTTTCTAAATTTTGTAAACGAAGTTATGACTTGTGGTGCCCATCATAAATTAGAACAAATACTTAACAATGTCATTGGATGGTTTTGATTACGTCTCACATGGAGTGATGGATTCCACGAGCTGTACAGTAGTACACTGGTCTACTAAAATAATTAATTGTGTATGTGATCTGTTGTTCCACTGTGGGTAATAATAATAATAATATTGACAGCTCCATTCCAAACAACATTTGTGGTACAGATATGGAATTTTCAGCGTGCATTACAATATATTGCATCTAATTACTTCATACATTTTATAAGATGTTAAAATCAAAAAGCAACACCCCAAAAAAGAAGATAAATAAAAAAATAAATAAAAGAACAGCGTTGCGTTTATAACTTTTAAACAAATGCATCACAGGAAATGAAATATAAAATTGGTGTGTAATAGAATATGAGAACAACAGTGTAATAGTAACGAGGGAAGGAAAACAAAAACTAATGGGACTATTTGTTAGAGTGCCGCAGTAAGTTGATCGTGTCATACCTAACGGATTTCTCATCACATAACAGCTGTGCCAGATATGGTATTGTGGAGTTTTTGTACTTGGTAGTCCTAGCATATAGCCTCCTATAGCTGCTTCTAGTTCTACCAGATGAAATGCAAGGAGACAGCTGCGTGTAGAGAGGATTCTCGGGGTCTGACAATATTGTATTTGCTAGTTTCTTACATGATATAATATGTCTATCTACAATAGTGTTAACCAGTTGGTTTAATGATATCCACTTGCCCTATTAACGGCTTTTAGTGCCTGGCCTTCTCAGCAAAGCAAAGTCTTTCTTAAGTACTGAATGTTTCTCACTGGGGTAAGAAAGCTGTTCACAGTTCTCTTTGTTCTTTGTTGTTCTCATTTCAGTTAATCTTCGTCTAGATGGTGTCTGTTCATGATAAAATTTGCTTTGCAAAAGGTTCGCCAGTAAAAAACGAAATTATTGATATACATGTTGTTTTTGTAGGTTACACAATCTAGACATAAAATGTATATGAAATGAGTGATATGATTTAAACTAGCATAGTTATGTACCATCCTGTGAAGTGGTTTGTGCTTTAGACTAAGTGTTCTTCTTTTTCATTTTATATCCTTTTAGATCTATTAATGTCTTCCTCTACAAATGAAGCAGACAATGATGATAACCATGATGATAATGATGACAGACAACGTAAATCAGTAGTGAATGAATGCAACAGTAATGGTGTAGAGGCGAGACAATTATTTTCTAATCGTATACTAACTGAAATTTACCATCGTATTAAAGCGAGACCACTACTAACCGGTGCTGATCAAACAGATACTGTCAGACGTATATCAAAAGCAATGGGAAATTTAAATCAAGTGAAAATTCTACCGCACAGATCTACGACAAATATTTTTGAACTGGTTGATACACATCGTAGATTAGTGTGTTACTGTACTGTTATTCATGTATGTCAGTTGGATGGTAATGTTTTTTAAAAGATTTGTATTTAAAAATTGCTTCAAGCGTTTATCATGAACTGATATTGGTAAGAGAATCATTGGAAACCATCTAGGAGTAGTGGAAAGGTGTTTCGTCTTGGTGCTTGGAACTCTTTATCAGTATTCACCCAAGGTGGTTCAAACCTGGGACTTCCGGTTACAGACTAGCTCGTAGACGATTAAGTCATTGGTACCCGACCCATGGTCCATGGATCACAAATTCGACCAACTCCTGATATGGTGCCACCACTAGTGGATGTCATCGGCGAGTATTTAACCTCACACCCAACCTGGAGTACCCTACTGATCACAAATTCACACTAGAACTAAGTTAACTGCCCACCTAATAGGGTTGGGTGTGTGAACAAATACTCGCCGAAGACATTGGCTGGTGGCCGCGCTATGTCATGAATGGGCGTAAGATGGAATTCATGGACCATTGGATTGGTTCCCGTTGGCTTAGGGTCTACGAGCTTACCTTGTAACCAGAAGGTCCTGGTTTCCTACCCTGATGGTGGGTGCTTACTGTGAAGAGTCTCAAACACTGGGACGGAGCAACTGTTCAACAATCCCAGGTTTTCCAATGGTTCTTCAAGCAATGGCAGTTCATGATGAAATCCTGAAACCAATCAAATCTCTGCAAACCAACACTTCAACAAAAATTGTTCCATTTTTTGTCATTCAGTCTTTATACTTACTTTGAGTATAACCCATTGGATTATTTTTGACCAACGTATGCTAAAAAGTAAGTGAGCTTCGAAAAATCTACTAAATGCTACTGGGACTGTTAGGATGGACTAACTATCTTCGTGAGTCTTGAAGCTATGAATGATACATGCACCTATATAGCAACCGGATAACTTGACAGTTTTTGACTAATTTATTCTAGAGGATCTCCAGTGTTATACAGTCAATCAGATACTGATTTTTAAATTTCCGTTGGTATATAAATGATATGAACACTCCGTATTCTGAATAATAAAATGTTTTGTTGTTGTCGTGGTTGTCGCAGTTAAATCGGACTTTTGTGTCAGCCTCAGTGTGGGGAATACTTCCAAGTGATCATTTGAATATAGTGTTCTATCTAAAAGTGCACTCTAATCAAAATGGATAACAACCAACAAATTACTAACACAGCGTTATAACTATTCAATATTACCTTATCTTAATAGCATCATTTCTACCACATGTGGTACGAATAATGATAACAAAGCCAGACAGTATCAGAAAAGCAAGACAGATCCTCATTACTTGATATCACTGTAGAGATCTATTGGCTTTAGGACATGAAAGAAGATCCGAATTCCCAAAACTTTAATAAGTCAGTACCCTTGACTTACGCATTAAGGAAAACATTACCGACAGTCTTCAGATTTCTATCAACGCCAACTCTCTTTGCTCCCTAATGAAGATCAGCTAACCAGTCAGAAGGGGTATGCAACAAGGAACTCTGGCAGTTATCGAACTAACAAAAGGCCTACTGACTAAAGAAAATCGAGGTGGATTTGAAGCATGCTAAGAATACCGTTGAGTGAGATCATGCTACAGGTCCTCCAGTGTACCTTGAATGGGAATCAGTGAGTTGGATGTCTGAGGGTAATGTGGATGAGACAATGTGAGAAGAAGGTGAAAAGTTGTGGACACTTTTAGGGCCAGCCAAAAAGAAATCAGAGGACAGAGAAGAGTGGAGATGTACTACTGAGCCTTTTGTTCCTCAAGCAAATCAAAAGACGAATTGTAATAATAACGGTATAGAGATTAGTCAACAGAGATATTTGAAGACTGATTTTCTCAAAATCATATTTTCATAAGATTTAGTGAGACTAAGATCGTTTCTTATGTTATCCTGTGACTTCTACAAATAGAGTCGTTCGGCATTAATCTTATCGGTACTGTGAGTATAGAATATTGTGTCTAGCTGACCAGTGATACTTCTTAGGAAAGCTAATTTCAAACTAATTTGTATTTAATTTGCAGTATATTTTACAGTGTATCTTTGCTCGCTTTTCCATGCCATTCATGGTTTCAAGCCTAGGAAAATGAAAATCAGATTACATTTCACACTGGGTGTTTTAAATCATTAATTGCATTGTAACATATAGCTAAGTTCATAAATGTCAATATGAATGGCATTAAAAATTACCGTTTAGTGATATTAGATAATTAGCGTTGTTTTTTCCAGCGACCGCATTCTCAAGTCGTAAAATCGTGTATGTATATATAATTGTACAACCAAATAGTGAACGTTTAAATCTTTGGATCTCTGTATTTGAGCTGAAAAAGCTAATGGAAGTAATATGCTCTGCAAGAAAACTAGCTATTTACTTAGGTTTATAGATTTTTATTGTTTAACAATCATAGACTAAAAATGAATCATTCCTTGAATGAGGTTTATCAGTGCATTTATTAATTCTGTATGCAATTCTTGAAGAAGAGCAGAAGATTTGTATTCACACCTAATCAATACTATTACTGGAAGGTGTACAATTTTCAACCATACATGCATAGCATCATCTTTCACCATAGTGTTTCATCATTGTTACTCTTCCCTGTCCTCCCCGTAAATTTATATTGCATTAAAACGTTTAATGGGTGGATCTGCAGAAGTTCTTATCATCCGATCTTACTTATTAACACCATTTTGTACCTTAGATTTGTATGATGACTGTGTGTACTGCTACATATATCTACGATATCTATTTTATTATTAATTATTTTCTATTAGATCTTTGTAGACAATTGGCTAGAAATTGACTTAAGTTTTGTGTTTATTGGCACCAAGGACCACATACATTACATTAGTTTCTTTCTAGTGATCAATCAATATATATCTCAAGTTTTATTATGTACTGACGTATATTAGGAAACCACTGAAGACCAAAGAGTACTGTAAAGCTGTTTCATCCTAGCTTGAGACTCTTCGGAAGTACTCGCCTATGACCTACTTAGGCGTCTAACCATTGTAATTTGATCTGTTCATTGATAATCCAACCGATTTTATGACTCATGAATTCCAGTTTTCGTCAGTCAACGATTTTTAGCTCCATCGCCGCGAGGCAACTTATGTTATGGCTAGATTGTTGAAGGCAGCTGACAGGAAGCCTCACGCGTAGGTTTTATGCTTGCTGATACTCATCATCAAGGTGTATTTGAAGTCTTGAAGCAAGCTGTGTCTCTTCTGAGATTCACACCGGTCTCATCCAGTGCGGCAGTCAGAGACGTTACAACTCAGTCATTTGAACTCGCAATCAACCTCCTGCAGGAGGCGATCTACCTAGCTTCTTGGCTGCCTTGCAAACTTGACTGATAAAATTTGGAACTAGACGCACGAAATTTAGTTACCATCTATTTTTCAAGCAAAGTAATAACTTATCTGTTATATTTATTATTTCTTCTTTTGTGGTTTTTACTTTCTAAGATTATACAAAATCAGCCTCCAGAGAAAGAGACCAGGGCACTGAGACATTTATTTGTATTCAATGATCTAGTTATTCTTGCCAAAGATGCCTCATCCTCTTCCTCCTCCACGTCATCATCATCATCATCATCAAAACACCAGAGTGGTAGAAAATCTATCTTCGACAAATCAAAACATCGGCAAATATCAACTGATAATGTGCTATTTAGTCGACATAAATGCAACGATGAATTCCTTCAACCACCTCTGGATTTGCTGATTAACAGTTTCGATGATAAACCTCAACAACAAATGAATAACTTAGAGTCTAGTGCATTTATCTGTGCTCAGCCTACTGTTCATTGTCTCCCGTATACACGAAGGAGTCGATCAAAAAATGATATAAATACTCATAAGGCAGCAGCTAGTAATTTTAATTCACATTCCTCTACACGTTTAACTGCTTTATATGCTATCTCACTGGTTCAATGTAAAATTCGTCCTTTTAAAACTGATGGTAAGTAGGAAGACAAACGTGTCTGCTTTAGTTAATCTTGTATTTATTGTTTGCTCATCATATTGGGTCGAAATATTCGGTCTGTGCTGATATTTCGGTTTCTGGTATAAAATCTTCGACTGTATCTGAGAATTAACCTGATGTTATTTGTTGGATTGTGACTAAGAGTGAGATTCGGGATGAGGATTTCGTCGTATTTGGGATTTTTACATGGATACGCCTTCAGTCTTTGTTATGATGTTTTTGCCGGTGAGACTCGAACCCCGAAACCATTGTTCCGGATGTCAAAGCAGGTAATTCCAGATGACGAGTCCTGGATGGAGTGAAATGAGCATCCCGGATCAAACTCATCGTCACTATCCATCAAATAACTGTTCATTGATTACCTTTCATATTGGACTGAAATGTTCGTTCATTATTGACTTGTGAGCTTAAATGTAGGTACGCCTCAAGTATAGCTGATGGCTAATATGTTTAGAGGTGACTAAGAGTGGAGTACAGAATGCCATTTACTCCTTTTCGGAACATTTTTTCAGAGACATATACCCATATTCACTCAGATGTATCTGAAAACTAAGTGAATTGAACTATTTTACACAAAAATATGGATTTTAAACATTACAGAGGAAAACTAAACACATTTACACAGAATTATGCTCCATTGTGAACTTATGCAATACGATAAAGAGGGATTTTTTTAAAAATGAAGTGAATTCGATTTTTAGTTGGACTTGTAGGACTTCGTATGTGCTAATCATTTGCCTTGAACTAATGCAATACTCAAAATACGATAATTCTTCATTGGATTCCTTGCATGAAGATCAGGGTGTGATGTCACTTAAACCTTTCGAAAACCAGACGAAATGACTTTACGGTTGTATACTGACTTGCAATGGCTCTTTGACTTGGTAAACTTAATTTTATGAATATTTTTCAATCAAATTGCCTTCGATGGTGGTTAGTGATAGTAGCTTACTCGGGTTTAACTCTCTACAGCTGATTGACTGAGATAAATGATTGCGTAGTGCTCACATCGACCAGTAGTGCTTATCAGTCAGCCAGATCGAAGTGTTCTTTACACTGGACGGCTATTCCTCTCTTTTGGAGCCGAGATCATCGTCGGGGTGCTCTGTTTGACTCAACTTAGAGAGTCAAATCTATTCAAAACCAACCAACTTCTGGCTAGCTATTTACAAGTTCTGGTAACACCTTAATTCATATTAAAAATTTGCAATTTAATTAACCATTTCTAATTTACACAGTTTGAGTAGGCGAAATTCCACAACAGGTTTCTTTGAAAACCAAAGTTATTCAAATCAAAAAAAGCATAAAATTGTAATGCTGTGTGTTTATTTGCTTTCTTGATAACCATTATTTGATATCAATCAGATCACATATTGTGATCTGGACTGTTATGAAGTTTCACTTACTCGAACTGCGCAAAGTACAAAGTGCCGATCGATTTGCACAATTGAGAATTTGAGTTACCTTATTTGTAACTCGTCTGTACTTCAGTAAGTGATATTATTCCCTAAGCAATTCAAGTCCACAAACGCTGGCTTTGATGGCCACTGTGTTATTCACCAGGCTAATGGTGTCAAATCGTACACGGCCGCCATCATTTGTCATCATCTGGAAATATGTTGACATTGGAAAACTTTAATTGCTGTCAACAGATGTCAGTAATTTGGTGTTATTATTAAAATACACTAATGTCGTCAATAAAAATAATTTTCCATTATGGATATATAGCTACTGAACTTGTTGAAGTTATCGAAATAATATTCTTTGTTCGGTAATCAGCTAGGCAAAAATTAACATCAACTTTTGGAAATTCAAATGTGAGATAAGTGAACAACTTTTGGGCAGCTGTTTCTCCCTAGTCTGAGACTCTTTGGCACTACGCATTCACCAATATTCATGTCCAGGATGCTCCAGTTACAAGGCTGTCTCATAGACCATTCAACCACTGGGAACTATTATAATGACCCATAAAAGCCAACTTCTGCACGTTCACGCTATTTAACGCAACTATCAACCAGTATCATAGGAAAGTAACTATTCTCTTGCCTGACTAATGATCGAACCTGTAACTAATCAAATCCGTGTAAACCAACACGTGATCAAAAATGGTTATTGTTCAGTCAGTTATAGGGTTTTAAAATAATTCAGAAGATATGTAACTCATATTAGCGGCTTCGATGCTTTGGTTTCGTCGGTGACACAGAGGACGAATGTTTGCCAACCACGCCTCGGGTGGTACGGGATTCCGTCTCCTGCAAACACACTCGTTTACCTCACTGAGCCAGGAGCAAAACTGGTTAAGAATAAAGGTTTGTCATGAGGCTAGCAATATCATCCCGTAAAAATAAATACCACTTCTACCGTGACCTGAAAGTTCCAGCTCTAAGCCCTATGTTCCACTGGGAACGTAAACAAATAAGAGCGAAGTTAAACAATAGCGTCCTAGGGGTGCAAACAGTCGAATGACCTTGAACGCGTGCTAGTCATTGGCTTTAGCGCAAATGTGAACTCTTTTCACTAAATGAGAAGTAAATTTCACCCAGATCACATTTTTAAGTACTGTTCGCATAATGTGTTAATTGCACATTAGGATTAGGGTTAAGGTAGGTATTAGGGTTAGGGTAAGGATCAGGGTTATACTTAAGATTAGGATTAAAATTAGGGTTACGATTAGGGATGATTTAGAGTAGGTAATTTTTATTTAAATTTGTTTTATTATCCCCATTTCTACAGTAATTAGTTGTCGATTGTCTTACTGTATACCATAGTAATTCAACCAAAGTCTTTCAGGGAAGACTGCAAAACAAGATAAAAGTGATGAACGAATCAGAAAAAAGCTCACTTTAAGTCACCTCGGTAGATACATGTACAGAAACTGGTCTAACTTAAAAGTTGATACTCTTCGCTTCAACTGGAACGTATTTTTAAGTCTAGTCAGTGAAAGACACCCTATTTTATGTGTTTCATACGTTTTATTGTAAATAAACGTCATTTTTTGTGGAAGAGTCACTTATTCTGAAGGTTGGTCGGCTCAAAGTCACTCGTACTTACTCATCCCTTGAGCCGCTATCGTTTAACTTTGCCGGATTAAGATAATTTAAAAGAAATAATGTTGTGTGTGATGCTTTGAAATAGGTAGTTTAATTCCAGATCTTTTTTATTCATCTAGGCATCATGTCAAGTGCTGCAATTACACTGAAATCCACAATGAAGGTGTTAATAATAAGATTACTGGTATGGTTTTTTCTTAAAAAGTGACAGCAATTAAAGAATCTAGTTTTGTGCAAGTTTATGAGTGAATACAACATAGATACATTTTAGTTTTTTTAGTTTTAACCATTCCTTTCACACATGTAATCCAATTTTTTTTTAATTTGAAAATTTTCTTTTATTTATATTTCTAGTATATCGTTATGGCTTAGAGTTTTGGAGTTTCCCAAAAGACTACTCACCTACTGATGATCACTCAATGAATTCTGTTAATAATAATAATAATCAACAACCAGAACAGTTAATTATTATCTCAGCTTTAGCGAAAACTGACTATCATAATCTACTGACAGATTTATTTGAAGTAATTTGTGAAGCAAATCATGTTGATATGGTGTTGAACAGTTAAGTTAATAAGTGAATTCGTCAGCTCCTGTTTTTTCTTCGATCAAATATTGTCGTGTGAATATATGATGAAAGTGTCCAATTGGTTTCTTTCATTGCTGTGTTTATCTCTTTCCTGCCTTACATTTAATTATGCATCAACATCACCACAATTATCATCACCATCGTCTCCTTCTTCTGTAGATTTCATTGAATGTTCTGGTGCTGTCAAACCAATACACTAATGCACACGCACACAGACACAAACACACAGAGATATGCATTCCATATTCTTGATGATTACTTGCTTCAAATTATTTTTATTTTCATTCTACTCTTTTGTGTTCCGAGTGAGAACACTATAGGGCTTCAAGATTCAGCCAAGGTTTTCATTGTTATTGTATGAGGTGAGATCGCTAGCCCCATGCGTTGGTCGGGAATAGAGCTCCATGGACTGTGTGACTGACTGGCGAGTATTCTTCCACTAAACCACTGACCTACACAGCTGCTTCACATAGCTGCTGCTCTTTTCAATGGTGGCACAGTGGTGAGAGCGCTCTCCAACCATGCACATGGTCTGGGGTTCGATTCCCTGCCTGTGAAATTTGGGCTCCCGATATTACATGCTGAAAATTCCATACTTGTACCAAAGATACGGTGTGGAATCAAGTTGTAATCAAAAAAACATTATTGGTGATATTATCTTTCGATATGCTCCTTCGAATGAAACTAGATTAGGTATACAGAAACTTATGCATATTTAGTAATATAAATTTATACAATATATGTGATACAAACGAGAACTTGTTGTGTCTTTGAGGTTATGAGTCCTTATCTCTTGTTCCTTATTACACTTTCTAGTTTATATTGACTTCAGCTAATCAGAGAAGCAGCATTATTGTATTTAATCATTCTTAAAATGCACAATTCCCTTGGTTTGTTTCCCTCATTTGTAGTATAACTTTCCGATTCAGTCAATTTTCTAGAATATTTTCCCAATTAATGCATATTACAACACTCCCGCGCACAGTCATATAGACAAATATAAAACAGCATCTTGGACAGGCAGTTTCGACAAGCCCGTCGACTAGACAACGTGATTACATAAGTTCTCGTTTACTTACTTATATTTTTCTTTCTGTTTTTCCTTCCATAGTTATTTGTTGTTTCTTGAAAAAAAAATTAAGAAAATTTTTAAGATTTCTAAAATATTATTTATTCATCAAGCAAACTGTCTTACTCATATTCAGGTGCTCCTTATATGCTGTGATTGAATCTCTTGTGTATTTTGTTGTCTGATATATGCATATAATATATATCTGCATTTATGTGTATATCAGCTGTGGGTGTTGTTCCCCTGGTCCTCCTTATTAAAACTCATTCGATTCATTCACATTTATTCTGTATGTGATTTCTAGACACTTTGTATGTATGTATATTTGGTAATTTATGTATATTAAATTAGATTTTTAGGCAAAAGTAAGTGAACCGAAGTAATTAATCTTTGAACAACCAAATTAAGTCATCATTATGCCTAGGAGCATCCACTGAGATTACGTCACAATTTCCTATTTATCTCTATCTCTCTCTCTTTTCCCTCTTCTTCGTCTTACTTTTCTTTTCTTCTCCTTGTATTTCATTTTTTTCCATCAGTTTTGCATCAATTTCTTAGGACAGTTTCTATTTTTTCTTCAACCTGATTAAATCATATTGTGTTATTCTCAACCTTCCAGCCCCACCACACCTCACCTACTCTACTTCCCTAAGTCTATTCATCTTCATATAGCTAGAGGACATTAAATTAGGATGACATTTGTAAAATAAGCCGGTCACTTTTTCTCTTCAGAAAGAGAGAGACAAATTTCCGAGAAAAAAACTTTCAATTTTATCAAATAAATGTATATTGTTCTAATTATTTTTTGTTTTGTTGAAAGACTTACTCGCTTTCAGTTATGTGTAAAGACTATTTATTTGTCAGTCAATTTTTTTGCTTCATCCGTTTATTGATAACTGACGTGTCGACATTTCCTAGTATGAACGCTTTGGTGATATCTATGATGGTCTGAATTCCTGATGGTCCAGAAATTCCTGAGTTTTGGAGCCCAGATGCGTAAGTGCAGCTATAGAGTTACAGACAAGGATAAAACAGTTGTCTAATACTTCCTGGATTTCTGATGGTACTCTAATGATGTCAACCACACACTTGAAAATCTCATTAAGGAGGAAAGAATTGATAACCAAGAAAACATTAGGAGTTTTAATTATTTCGTTAGATAAATTCATGACTACAGCAAACTTATTTTGTACACAAAGACTATGATTGTTTTCTTGAGTGATCATAGTTTTGGTTATGTGTATAAAACGAGTTAGAATCCTGTTCGAAAGGTTCAAAGGAATGCAGTAGATGTGAAATTTTAAGATACTTTGATATGGTAACAGTCAACAGGATAATTTTCTCAACTTATGTATGATAATCGCTCATAGTGATAAGAAAAGGCTTATCTACATTCTTAAAGCTAGATTTATTGAATGAATTTGACTGCCTTCAAGAGTGAAAACTCCTTCTGCGTTTTTTTTATTTCAAACTTCAAGTCACGTATTGCAGATGCAGACACATCTATCTGAAGAATTCTAAATATAGAGAAAAACACGTTTTCAGTTTCACTTCTGTTAACAAGCATCAAAAAACCAAACAGTGCAGGTATTTGACTCTTAATGATTTTAAATAAGCAAGAAATGTATTTCGGGAAGGCATTCACGTCGATCTATTTCTTTTAACGCTTATTATTATAATTTCCTTTAATTCCTAGAGGGACATAGGGCTTCGGCGGCACGTCTCCATTGCGTTCGGTTCTCTGCTAAAGTTTTCACTTGGCTCCAAGTCTGTCCACATGCTTTCACCTCCTCTTCACATGACCTCCTCCAAGTCACCCTCGTACTGACGACCAACTCTCCGCCTCTCCTTTCCTGTTCCACTTTAGGGCTTGTCTAGTGATGTCACTTGATGGTTCCCACAGAGTATGACCAATCCATCTCCATTTCTTCGTGCTCATTTGTTGCACAATCGGTTCCTGGTTGTTTTGCTCCCAGAGATTCCTGTTGCTGATCTTTTCTGGCCATCTGATCTTGAGTATAGAGCGAAGACCTCCAAAAAGACTTGAGAGTAATGAAAGCCTGTCTTGCTTATCCGATCCTTGCTTTGATATCCTCGTCAGTTCTGCCTGTAGTTGAAACCACGCTTAGGGAGGGACTAACATCATAAATGAGCATTGAAAATATGAGTTCAATTCGTGTATAAAACGTGGATGTTGCGGTAGTATTTCATTTGATATCTATTCATTTAAAAGAGTGAAAGTACCCATTGAGTCATAGAGAAAACAAAAGGCGATTCAGCGTAGAGAATTCTCTCTGTGGACAAGATCATCCCCAGGGGCTGTACAATCTTATTTATCTCCAAGAGTTTGTTTCTAGACAAAAAAGTATAGTAGTCCATTGTTGATTAAAAGGGGGGTTACATAACTGATATAATTGCTCAGATGTAGCTTCTAACTGTAAAATAAAAAAATATTTGGAAATATTACGTAATAGCCAGAGACTTAATGGAAGATAGGGTTTGAAATTCAATAAGATTAGAACTGTTACCGGATGAAAAGTTAAGTGGTTTAGTATCAACTTGACAAGTCTGAAGAGGATGAGAAAATGTATAAAATAAATATACCAAAATGAAAATAATGAATTAATTATTAAAAACAGAAATAAGAGCCATCGATTGGGAGATCACAGTAGAATGAGAGACTGGACAAACTCTTTCCATACACAGAGCTCGAGGTTATATTGACGAGTCATCAGTGCCTCCACCAAACATGAATACTGAAACCTTACACACATGGTACTATTCAGTCTCACCTTGTAGATAATCTTAAAAGATGACTCTTGTTTAGCCTGAGTTTACTAAGTGCTGAAGAAGCGAGCTAGTAGTTGTCTCACACTGTCCTCTTGCTAACCATGGCGGGCAAGTATATAATAATAATATTAACAGCTTTATTCCAAAGAGTATTTGTGGTATAGGTATGGAATTTTCGCCGTGCATTACAATATTGCATCTAATTACTTCATAAACTTTATAAGATTTTAAAATCAAAAGGCATCACCAAAAAAATAAAAAGAACAGCGTTGCGTTTACATTTTAAACAATGCACCACATATAAAACCCAACAGAATCAAATGAATGTTCAGACGCACACTGAAGTGGTCCAAAGCAGCAAACTGTCCTTCAGAATTACTGCTGCTATGTCACCATTAAATTCAAAGTTCATGAATAACCGTTTCTTTGCGTATCAGTTGAATTTTTTCAGTTTTTCTGTTTTAACTTTTTTCAGTAGATGTAGTAGGACATCCATTTTCAATAAAGACTTTTCTGAGTCCCTCCAATTCAATATCGATTTAATCATTTGTAGCTTGAAAATTCCCATTTAGTCATATGAAAAAGAGACGTTCAGAGAAGAGACTTTTCCGCGAATTCATTCACATAGTTGTACAATCGCATTTGTATATAATTATTTGTGTGTGTGTGTATATGAGGCTTCTCAAGTTTCGATAATTTATCAGGCAATAAAAGAATGATCTAATATACAAACAAGGTTAATTGGACAGCAGCTTAAGTAAGATTGAGTTAATAAGTTAGATGACGCAATATAGTTAACTAAAATGTTTCAACTTAGGTGAAGCTATGATGTGTATCCACATAATATGTGTGTTTGTCTTGACAGTCTGTTATATTTGCTATGTATATATGGATCGATATTCCATTATAATTGAAAAAATATTTTTGTCTGTCCCCTAACTAAACAAACATGTCTGACCTTGTTGTCACATGACATTACAACCAATCATGTTAAAACTGTCTATTGATTAGTTCATTTTTGAACATTCGCTCATACGCTTGTGTGACATTGATTTTCCATGTTGTTTGAAAAAATAAAAGTATCATCGTGAACCTGGTGGTTTTCTGATTTCCGCCTTCTCGCGTCAGGACTATTAATTACACGACCGGTACATAGCAGGGTAGCAACTTAGGTAATTGTACATCGAGAGTAAGTAGAAGTTTGGTAGACGATTATGCCATTTAATTTAGGACTGAAATTGAGCAGTTAATTTTGATGACGTAACATAAATGACTAGAAATTTATCGTTGGTCAGGTGAATTAATTAATCATTTGTGCATATTCTTATTTTGGAAGATAAGCAGTGAATCCCTTTCCAAATGGACCCAGCTATAAAATTTCGAATATTGATAATTCCTTGTCGGTTGGTTTCCTGTATATTGATCTGTAAGGAGAACCATTCGCTTTCCTTTTTAACAAAGCATCCCGGCCATGGTATTCAGAGTTCATAACATATTGTCCTCTAAAACACTGGTGAAACAGTCTGTAGGTAGATGAAGAAGTGTCAAACCCACTACTACTCCGTCTTCTTGTCTACACAGACTGTCACTGAACTTCGACCATACACTCAAATTCCATTACAATAATGGTTTATTTATGTAATGGATCAGTTAAACCCATGTCCAGATTATCATCCTTGATGAATTTGAATTTAAAGCAAATAGTTTTAGTGAGAAAGACGTTGGTAAAGGGAGAGACAATATCCAGAGAGAGGTATCATTCTCTTACCTACCTTATCCAACCTTGTAAAGATGAATTAAAATGAATCTGCAATACTCTGACAATTGAGACTGTCCCTGATGGGCAGAAGAATGTCTGTGAGCCATTTGACAGTAGAATGGTGTGGTGAATTCGCCATTTCCATAAATCGTTGGAAAGAAACAGTAATGTTATTATTGAATAAATAACAAAGATCCATTTTGTAATATATCCAATAAGTAATTTGATATGGCATTAATATCTGTAAAAAGTTTGAACATTGCGGATTAGATCACATTAAGTATAATTATATTTCAGTAGTTTACACACAATGATAAGTTTTGTTATTGGTAATATTTCGAACAAAATTACTGCTCGTGTTCCCACCACTGTGTGAAGAAATAAAAGTTCTATTTAAAATGCTACTCGAAAACAACTACCCAAAAGAATTTACAAGAGATAATATAAAAAAGAGAAAAAATAGGGTAAAACCGGAGAATGACAAGATGGAAGAATAGAAAAAAACAGTCACAATACCATATACAAAATGGTACATCAGAGGCAATTCAAAGAAACTTCAAAAATATTGGCATTCAAATAACGTTTAAACCAACGAATCTAATCAAAAATAAAATAAATCAACTGAAAGATCCCATAAAAATGATGGATAAAAACAGCCTGATTTACAAAATATCTTCTGCTGACTTTCCGAATAAATGTGTGTGTCAAACGTCCAATTTGTTGAATGTATACAGGATATAAATGCGTCGAATAAACAAATGTTGTCTTTGGATGTAGAATCCTTATTTACGAACGTTCCACTGACAGAGACCATATGTTTTATATGCAAATATATTGAAGACAACAAATTGAACATAGGGATACCTACTACAGATCTTAAAGAACTACTTTTGAGATGTACATTGAATGTACAGTTTACTTTCAATGAAACAATCTACAGGCAGAAGGATGGTATTGCGATGGGTTCTCCCTTGGGTCCTCTCCTTGCAGACGTTTTTATGTCCAGTCTAGAAAATGGTTCCCTGAAGCCTATGATCCAAAGCTTTCAAATATATAAAAGGTATGTAGATGACACCTTTATTATTTGTAATATTGATTGTAACCTGAATAATATATTAAGTGTATTTAATGAGTGCCATCCTGCGATAAAATTCACACTCGAAATGGAGAACGAGTCTAGCATTCATTTCCTCGATGTGAACTTATCAAGAAGGACCGATGGAACTCTGAAGAGATCGATTTATCG